GTTGTTCAAGCTGCCACTGGAAAGAAACAAGAAGAGCGACAACAGCAGTTGCAAGAAAACATGCAATCTTTTTCCTCTAACAACTGTTGTAATTTTTCTTCTCGTTCTTCTTGTTTCTTTTATTGTTTAATTTCTCGTTCTTCTTGTTTCTTTTATTGTTTAATTTCTCGTTCTTCTTGTTTCTTTTCTTTTTCCTCTAGCAGCTGTTGTAATTTCTCTTCTCGTTCTTCTTGTTTCTTTTGCTGTTCGTGTATTGCTGCCATTAAGTCTGCTAGGCTGTACTTTGATTTGCTGCCTCTCGTTTCCATTTTTTTATCCCACTCTCTGACACCAATTTGTTACGTCTCCGTTTGTTAATTAATTTTCCGTAACTTCGTTGCGACGAAATTTTAGCGACACAAGTCCTTACTTAATAAAACTGGTTTATTCTTTCCGAATACAACTTTACGATACACTTATTTTCAACAATCGCTCTATAATAACGCTGTATCAACGAACGTCAACAATACTTCTGACTGCAGTTCAATTACTCACTATCTACACACACACTACTTTACCGTCACGTTGTCACCCTCTTTTATATACCAGACTACCCTATATCTAGTAAATACTAGAGCATTCGCCAAGGTTCAGGATAGTTCTAGAAAATAAGCGGCGACACCAGTCACGGGACCTCGATGACGCAACAAATATGTTCGTATTACTGATTTTTCGTTTTTTTCTTTTCGTTGTGTTTTCTTGCTGTAGTTTCTCCCCATGATTACTGTTTAGTGTTTTATTTGTTTAATTATCGTTATGTTTAGCAACTGTGCTTTGAAAATGTATAAAGACTTATGTAAATTCATTTTATTCTGCTTTAGATAGTGAAGATGGAATCTGATAGAATTCCGAAACGTTTATCCATGTCCCCTTTTTTGTCAATAAACAATGCTGTATATCATAAGTGTCGTAATCTTGTTTATAATCAAACATCGTTTTCCTTCGAACACATTGATTCAAGCATTTCACTTACGGTCACTACCGCGCTTGACTCAATTGTCCGTCTCTGTCGCTGCTTGTCTGCAATTATCTATCCGTCACTTCTTGCCGGTTTTATATATACAAAATAGAAGGCGTCGAGTCTTCAGGAAGCTTCTAGATACTCATTACGTGTTACCAGAGTCACGTGACTTCTGCTGTTGTAAAAGTATCATTCCTTGGCAGGTCATAGAATTGTAAAAGGACAAGTAGATTCTATTAACAAATGGGAATTATAAATACACTTTTAACTTCAAATCATGCACAGGAAGGATAAACTGTGTGAGTTTAATTTAGATTAAGATAATACATATTAATCTGCTGTATAGGACATACATTACGATATGAGCAACAATAATTGTAAACAAATATATTCACTCTGCCCTAGAAGTAGAACGGAATTACTAATACCAATCAAAATTCAATTTTATGGTGTGTATGCCTTTTACAAGCCTGTGAAAGATAATTACAATTTTATTTGTCCTAAAACATTAGTATTAGGCTAAATGAGGTTTTTAAACATAATATTCTTAATCATTCCCTTAGGGATTTTCAAGAATTAGAAGTGTGGGTAATAACAGTATTTCAGCCATATTATATTTGTCAGATCTATTCGCGTCGTCGACAATGGATATAAAAAATATAGTGTGGCTGAAAAACTACTATTACACACTATTCTAATTCATAAATCTCTAAGGGATTAGATAAAGAATGTAGTGTTAAAAATGCAATAAGCCTAAGATAAAGTATATTTAATGTTTAACAGTGTTGCGATCAAATGTTTCCTTAGCAAATCTAAATAAAAATCGTTATAAGTATAGTTATTGCATCACCACCTGCAATATCTTGTTGTTATGACAACATTCGCGTATTTCGTCACTGCTTGCAATACAACAACATTCTTAACGTGGACTTCAACCGGTAAGAGCAGAAGACATAACTGTGCAGGAGTAAATGTTATTGTGTTTACTGTGTAAGTGTACTCACATGGCATAAGCGCAGTAATTATTTTAGTGCTAATATTTGCAGTTGATTGCTGAATACTGACTATTTCAAAACTGACAACTTGAGTGAAGAGACTGTACTTGAGAAGCCTAGAATTAGAGGTATCTATCAATCTGTTTGTTAAACCTAGGATTAAAAGGTGTCTATCTATCTATTAACCTGTCAAACTTAGCTAGACAACCTCATAATATGGATAATAATAATAATAATACCCTTATAAAATGTTTAAATTTTTTATTTGCATAAATCAAGATATCAATAATAATATGTTATTTTTCTATAATATTTATTACGAATATTCAGCATATTTTATTTTTAGCACTTATCTCTAGAACAATCAAAACATAAAGGAGTAATTTAATGGGTGGAATTTCGGAATTAAGTAATTAATCGGTGTAGATTATATCGCTACGCCTACCTTTATTTTAGTTTTAAAGCTAAGATGCCTTAATCATCAAAGTTCATGAATACGTTGTGTGTTACTACTACTAGTTTTAGCCGATGCGATTTTTATTTTGATGAAAACCTAAAGAAAAAATGAGTACTTACACTATTTTTAGAAAATGAAAAGTGTAACATTATTTATAAAATATTGTTACGCATCTGCTTGTTTGTTAATTTCCGGTAGAAATTTATTCCGAGGAACTTCAGCGATAGAAGTCCTTTCTTGATTAAACCAGTGTATTCTTTCTCGATACAAACTTTTAGTACACAGTGATTCCACAGTCAGGACGTTTCTTGTCAATTTCAACGTAACAACTTTTATAATACACGCTATAAATCACAGCGATTCACAATCTCGATAACTTCGCTCTCGACGAGTACAACACAATATTTACCAATAAGATAATATTTGCCCTGAAATTTTATGAATGAGGTACCCTGGATAAGCCAGAAGCCTTCTCATTATAGGACAAATACTGGTACCAATAACCATGCACTAACAAGAAACTCTGTTTGAGTGGGCTTGAGTGACGATCCTCATTACCATGGCGATGCATCTCTTAAGCAAAAAGGAACATGATTTGTACTTTTAACAGAACATGGATATGCAATTATACATTGTACTCCATACTGCAACTGTGAAAACACTGGTCCAACTCCAGTGGTGCTGTTGTTAGTGCCCAGTAGATACTCACAGCTTTCACAACGATAGGCCATCACTAGAGCATCCTCTAAAGCAAACTTCATGGATTAAAATGCTTGATTACATTCCTTGCACCATTCAGAGTGCTTCTACTTTCTTAAGAGTCAACAGTTTTGTTGTTATCTTACTTGGCTGTAAATCGTCAGAAAAATGATGCAACTCCAAGAAAATTGTAAACTTCTCGTTCATCAGAAATCAAGGCTATTATCTAATCACAGCTATCTTAGCTGAGACCATTGAGACTACATTTCTCCCCACAATGTAACCAAGAAACTCCAGCTCTGTTCACGTGAAAAAACGTTTTCGTAATTTCGGTTTCAAGCCTGTTTTTTGTATTGGCTAGAATACCAACTTCAAATTCTCAGTTGTGGACTCAGAAATGTGACTAAACACCCAGATATCATCGAGGTAGATCAGGCATCTCTCCCATTGTAGCTCCTTGAACGTAAACTCCATCAACTATTCAAAAGTAGCTGCTGCATTACACACACTGAATGGCAAGAACCAGAATTCATACAAGCTATCTCTAAAAGCAGTCTTTGATATGGTTTCACTATCCAGTTTAATTTGTCAAGATTAGGATGTCAGATCCAGGCTTTTGAACTAATAGGAGCCTTCTAACATATCCAGGCATTCATCTGTTTCCACTAACAAATCGAAAAAATAATACATAACCTTGGGATATCTTCCTTCTTCCTCAAAATTACTGTTGGAGACAACCAAGTATTTTTCAAAGGCTGTATGACGCTGGCCTAAAATATCCACTATATTTCAGCACTTGCAACCTCACTAGCTCTAAGAAAGCCAGCGTTATCATTGATTAATTGGTAATTTGTGTTTATGTGGTGCTTAGTCACCCAGTTGTCCATCTGGTACACTAACTACATCTGCATAGTCACCCAACACAACACCCACTTACTTTCACTGCATTTGGTCCAGATTGTCAGCATAATCTGTAACCACTGACCTCAAGTATATTGCTAGACTCACGTTTCCTTTTGGCCATGATGTGATAGATACAACCGTAACATTACTGCTAGTATTGGTTTCTTCAACTTTGTTTGTTCTACCTACGACCAGTACAAGGTCCAGTTGGAAAGCTAATCGTCCAACACTACAAAGTAACACTTGTTGAATGTATAACTGTAGAAGCCATTTCTACCTGCTTTCTGGACAAGAGGTATTTCGATTTATGATTAGCTTCCATAACTGCACTACATGGCGCCCAAATATTAGACTTCATCCAGATTTATGTAATTTGCGTGGTATTGGTCAAATGCACATGTCATGATGTTATACAGAGTTACATTCAAAATATAATTAAACAACTTTAATATTAATGTATGTAAAGAAACGAGGTATCAGAATGTACAATACAAATTAAATGTTTATAAAATCTAAGTTTTACTTTCTTACTTTCAAAAGAAAATATTTAAGCAGGTTCTCAATTTTCACTTGTGTTGTCATATGACGTATATGGAGTCTCAATTCTACCCTTTTAGTTTGTATACGTTCAATAGTTTAACTTTTACAGTGTCCAACTAAGATGAACTCAAATTATTTCTAATGACAAGGTCAGATACAAAATTTAAACCCTATCTTCTATATTTTTCCAGTCCATAACACAAGCCTTGCCCAAGTATCCTTAATTTGAAAAGCATGTTCTTATTTGATGTACACGTTTATAACTAACAGAAATATATTTTTCTAATCAAAACTTGCAATTGTCATTTTGAATATGGTATAAGAAGTAGTTCCAAAGTGGGGAGCTTGGCTAGACATGCAGATTTTACAATGAGAGATTTAAAATATAAGGAGCTGCTAAAAGCAGCTTTCGTGCTGCCGAAGACAACTCAATCTAGGGGGAGTCTGGGGGCATGCCCCTCAGAAAATTAATATCTAAATTATGTAC